ATGAAGGCCCTATCAAATATGTACGAAAAACCATCTGCGATGAACAAGGTATATTTGATGCGTAGATTGTTCAATTTACAGATGCCTGAAAGTGGATCAGTGGCTAATCATATAAATGATTTTAATATGATTGTGAGTCAACTGTGTTCTGTGGAAATAAATTTTGAGGATGAAATTAAGGCGTTGATTTTGCTGTCATCTATGCCCGAGTCTTGGGATACTGTTGTTGCTGCAATTAGTAGTTCTCGTGGGTCTGAGAAGCTGAGGTTCGATGAAATCCGTGATGTTGTTCTTAGCGAAAGTATTCGCAAGAGAGAAATGGGTGATTCATCGGGTAGTGCTCTCAGCGTTGACCGAAAGGGTAGAAGCAAGTTCAAGGGCCAACATCAACATGGCCGATCAAAATCAAAGAATCGAGGCAAGTCTCCGAATAGATCCAATATAACTTGTTGGAATTGTGGAGACAAAGGGCACTTTAAGGCGGATTGTAAGAAGCCAAAGAAGAAGCAGAATCTGAAATCTGGAGATGACGGTGATTCTGTAAATTCTGCAGAGGATATTGGGGATGCTCTAATCCTCAGTGTGGACAGCCCAGTTGAATCCTGGATTTTGGATTCTGGTGCATCCTTCCATTCGTCACCAAGCAAGGAGTTGTTCCAAAATTTCAAATCTGGAAATTTTGGGAAGGTGTACCTTGCTGATAACAAAGCCTTGGTGATTGAAGGGAAGGGGGATGTCTCCATAAAAACACCAACGGGAAATCAATGGACATTGAAAGATGTCAGATATATTCCTGGTCTCAAGAAGAATCTGATCTCTATTGGTCAGTTGGATAACACGGGCTATGCAGCAAAGTTTGGGAAAGGTTCTTGGAAGATTGTGAAAGGTGCTATGGCTGTAGCACGAGGCACAAAATTTGGAACTTTGTACACCACTGCAGGGTGTATTAACATGGCTGCTGATGCTGATGGTGTTTCCATTTCAAGTCTGTGGCATGGTAGACTTGGACATATGAGTGTTAAAGGAATGAAGATGCTGGCTGCAAAAGGAGCATTGGAGGGCTTGACGTCTGTTGATATGGGTCTTTGTGAGAGTCGTGTTATGGGCAAACAGAAACGAGTCAGCTTCACGAAGACGCCAAGAGAGCCGAAGAAAGTACGGTTGGAGATGGTCCATACTGATGTTTGGGGACCATCTCCAGTCGCATCACTTGGAAGATCAAGATTTTATGTCACCTTCATTGATGATTTCAGCAGGAAGGTATGGGTTTACTTCTTGAAACATAAGTCCGATGTGTTTGCAACTTTCAAGAAGTGGAAAGCTGAAGTGGAGAATCAGACTGGCCTGAAAATCAAGTGCTTGAGGTCTGATAATGGAGGAGAGTATGACAAGTCAGAATTCAAGGCATTCTGTGCAGCTGAGGGAATCAGATTAATGAGAACAGTTCCTGGTAAGGCAAGGCAAAATGGAGTTGCTGAGAGGATGAACAGAACATTGAATGAGCGTGCAAGAAGTATGAGGATACATTGTGGGCTGCCCAAAACATTTTGGGCTGATGCTGTGAACACAGCTGCATACTTGATCAACAGGGGACCATCAGTTCCTTTGGGGTTCAAGATTCCAGAGGAGGTGTGGACCGGAAAAGAACTCAAGTACTCACACTTGAGGACTTTTGGTTGCACG